CAGAAGAATATTCAAAGTGAGGTATATCATGTGCCCCAAGCCATTTAAAAAAAATATTGCTCACTATGTAGTTATGATATGGTACGGTATTGTATTTTTTATGTTCTTGAGGATCTCTTCCGTGACATAGGACTTGTCGAAAATGGTTACTTTGCTTTTGATTTTTTTATTGTTTTCATAGGAAAGATAAAGGAGCAAATGAAAAATGAAACAATCTGCTTTCAGTTTCAGCTGCTATAGTAGCTGATTCATAGACATATTTTCTCACGAAAAACCATGTAGTAGTAACATCTTGTATATAGTAAAAATGGTTACAAGCCTGTAAGCATATTTACTTGCTAAAAAGTATTAAATTTACATAAAAAAGGAAAACATGTTAAGAAATATAATACGTAACATTAATAAATTAAGAACAGATATTCTGAAACAGAAACATGTCAATGAAGACATATCAAGATATGAAGTATGCTAGAAATTTTTCTGCACACCCACCCACTGTAAACAATAAATGTCCATTACATTTTTGGTTGCGCGTAAAGACGATTAATTGGGAGTTGATGTCCGACAGCGATTGGGAAGACTGGAGTTGTAAAGTATTTGCCTCATGTTTGAAGGAAGTTATAGGAGAATGCAGAACAGTTGTTTGACTCAAATAAAAAATATAAAGCAATTTCACGCCTCTGCAGATAAGACGTATCCAGAGTTCCCGTCGCGCCGCGGCGGTTCAGAAATTTTATGCGATTCTCCGGAGTGTATACCAGGCAGATATTCTTTCAGATAAAATAAACATTATTGTCCAAAAAGGCGCTAGGATCGCTTCACATCGCATCCATTCCCGCGACCGTTCGTCATCCGATATGTCTTCCGGTTGGCATTGGAATATTCACATTCGAGAACTTTTTGTTTATGCGATTTTCATGCTAATCGTGTTTATGTTTGTCGGGGAAAACGAAAGACGAATGACAAATTACGGAGTTTCCCTCCAAGCATGACCGAGTACGCTCAGGACCCGCCTTCCGGTGCCTTAACCAATAGCTGAGGAGACGGATGGTTTCCGCAATTTTTCGCCATCAAGAAACTAATATAAGTGGTCCTTTTGTGTAGAATAATAGATCTTATAAGAAGAAAACACGCAGTTGCGTATTTCGAACTAGATAATGTGGGCAGTTCAAAGCAGGGGACAGTAATAACGATATCTGCTAATATAAAAAGCTATCGCAGCCCTCTCTATAGCTTTTTGAAATGTATGGGATAACTGGCAGTCTGGCGCTTGACAGAATCATTCTGGTGCGTATGTAGATCAAATCCTGTGACTGCTTAACTGATCCACCTTAATAACGCATAAAATAGAGACAGATAAATCCTTTAAAAGTGGGCTAACAGGCGCGGGAACAGTCAGATACGTGGAAAAAAATAACTTATGAGCCTATTTTACAGTCAATTTTGTTCCGAACAACCAATATCTCCACATAATGTGTCTAAAATAAAGCCATGACATGTCAACTGATTTTTGTTTTCTGAATAACGTATCCAACTCAAATAGTAGATAATATATAGTTGTCTCTAGTGTTTTGAAAAAAATGAAATATTGTGCAGTAGCAACATCTAATCATTTTCCAATAACAGTCGTCAATACAAAAGAAACATTTGCGAAAATAAGTGGTTTAATAGGAAAATAATTAAACAGATAAATCCAGAAAAAGGAAATCGAAACAAAATCAGTTATATTATAAATAAGTATATTTTGAATACAATAACATTATGATATAGGATGTCAACAGAATGAAAACCTACTAACTGAAAAATTAAGGTATTTAAGACCACCGTTCGAGCTACATGATCAGTCTGAAGGAATTCATTGTCTTGATTCTAAATGAGTTTCGACGCTTGAAATTGATTTCGATGGCGCCTTGTGACGATATATTTCATTAGCTATGATAATTTTGACACTGCCATAATTATTTGAATATAGAAGATCAATATAATCAGATGTCAAAATTATCATAGCGAATCAAGTCACCAGGCGCCATCGAAATCAATTTTAACGATCAAAACTCGTTTAGAATCTGGCCCCTGATTATATTCTTCTTGGGCTCTTAAGACTACTGTTTCACCTTTAGGCAATGACGTTATATTTAAACGAATTTATGAGAGGATCTGATGATCCTAACCTGTTCATTAGATCGCGATTTGTATTTACCCGAGATGATTTCCTGGTGTTGGATAAGCGAAATCTCCCTAAATATTTATTCCTGGTCTCCTGTGCCTGTTCTGACAGCATTCCAATGGGCAAGTGATAATTTTCCTTTGCCACGTAATGGATTAGCAATTTACAGGCATATAGTACAAGAAAAAGGGTTAAGTACAAATTTCTTTTATTTTGGAAAGTATAAAACCTAGTTGCTCTTCCAGCCCGTTTTCAGAAACATTTGACGTGTTTTCTAGCGAAAATCACTCGGATAATAATTGTTGCAGAATCAAGTCAACTTCTTTACAGCTGTGCCAACCACATGATACTTTACAATTCAACATTAAAATTGCCGCGGTAGTTCATGGCATCTTTGTATAATGTTATTTATAGGAAAAAAACTACAAATACGCTTTTAAACATCTAACACCATAAAAAAATGGAATTTCGCATTTTAAATAATTAAGAACTTCCATCGTGGAAACATAGTTTGGAAGCTAGGAGGTGGTATGAGGCAATCAATTTCAATGCTTTTCACAGCGGTTTACTAATCACTCGTGCCAAATTGTTCGTGTTCAATGTTTATCCCTGGTCTACTTCTTAACTATCTTTACATATCTCGTTTATCAAAGGAATCTTCTCTGCTAAATACTCAGAATTTTTTAGATTTTTCATTTTCTAATTTTTCTACCTAGATTGGTCATCCTTCTCTGTGTGCGTAGGTGTGTTTGTATTCAAAATCACGAGGATAGGTATTTTGGTCCGACTTTGACTGGAATGTCAGCACCAAAGTATCTGCATGTTCACTGATCTCATCATTAACTGCTTTTGTAGTAATTCTCTGTTTCATAAATTGTCTATATCATTTAGTTGGTTCTTTGGGTTTTCGGACGCAAGTATCAGTAACTTTCGCAAGCTCCGTATTTCAGAAGAATATAAAAAAGAAAGGCCGGTATTTCACGAAAGTCCCCGCGATGTATTCGGCTCACATAATACCGTGATCAGAATGATTTGTGGACGTCCCAAGGTATAATAAAAAAGATAGAGCACAAATTTAGATAATGCATATTTCACAGACACATAAATCAAAATGTGTGCCCAGACTAGCAATTTCTCTCTACACGTGAATCGTAAAAAAAGCAGCAGCTTTCTTTTAGGATAGCTCGTAAGTTATTCACTGTATTGCCTTGGTAGGGAAACGAACCATCGTATTAAAAACCTAGGTCACACAGATATCTGACATACTAAAACTATTTTCCATCAAATGGCACATATTTATAAAGTAAATTAAAAAATAGATGGAAAAATTTATTGCGAAAAATTCCAGAAGAAAATGTGTACTGAAACCTGATTGTAGCTTGACAGTTCGGTTTTATATATGATGCAATAAGTTTGACAAGTGCTTATGAAGAATGGTTTTAGACTTTCCTTACGATGGCTCCAATTTGGTGAGCAGAGGAAACTCTTTTCAAACTGTGGATTGTTCCATTACACGTCAGACACCGATAATGTAGAAGCAGCACCGTGACCCTTTTTGGCAAGTCCGTTGTACTAACACTCCAGAGATGCAGTGTACATATTTGATCTTGGATCGATGCGTACATATATAGATAAACACAACATCAATGGCTCGAAATGTAACTTCCGAGGCTGTGATTTGAACTCGCAAGCCTTCAATCCGCCGCGCTAGTAGCTAGACTACGTACATCTAGCTACCCAGCTTCAAACCACCGATGCTACTTTTATGCGTCTTTTTTAATGATCGCACAAAATTAAGATTTTCTGAGAACCTGTAGAGCAGGAAAAAGAAATTATATCTCGAAAAATTATGATTTCGCTTCAATATTCTTTTAATCTCTATCAAACTCCAATACTGCTATGGTTGGTGTGTCCCCCTGTATACAGTCTACTATGCTGCACACAGAATCACCAGATCCGCCATAATATCTGTACGTCGCGGAACATATCTTATTGTGATTTCATAGAAGGGGGTTGATATATTTGAAAATGTGCCGACTGCGCCAAGAATGAGCTATGCGACTATGGCCGCCATATTGTCGCGCACCCCTTCCACTGGTACGCGACTGGCATACACTCGCATCTAGACGCCATTGGTGGGTGTTCGATTGTTTATCCCAAGGAGTCTGTCAAGATATACAAAACATCTTGTCTGAGAGATTTGTAAACAATGTTCAAGCTGTGTTTATTTCCGAGAGGCTGTGTTGTTGACCTAGTGGTCTAACATGGATGTTGTTGACATTGTGACAAATGGCGTCAAGTAGCCAAATTAAGCCCAATCTAGATAAGAAAATGTAAATAAGATATCAAATAAATATTCATATTCAGACATATGAATCGCATGTTGTATCGCAATGTGCGCAGCTAATGAAAGTAAGATTTTCCTTCTGAATCAAAGGGATACAGTATTAATACTTGTACAATATGCGTCAAATTACTGAAGTAAGTTTAAAATGGTAAACATTTCTCCTATTAGACCCAAAATGAGATATTTGAATCACATTTGCAACTCATCAATCCAAATTTGCGTCCGGGAATTGATGGAAATTCGATAACCATATCTCGTAACTGCAACTGTCAAATTGCAATGACAGTAAGGTCCAATTTTGCTTCTGATAAGCGGCATGTATTTGGTTGGACGTCGAACTGTCAAAAGATATACGAGCCGCTTCCCACTTCAGTTGACCCACTTCAAGATTTGTACCAAAATATGCCTTTATAAACTAAACCTGACGAAACTATTTACTTCTGAAACAATTTATTTTCTCAAAAACATTTTAGATACACTGTAGTTGTAAAAAATACATATTTGAAATCACTTAGACCTATAACTAATAGAACATCTGAACAAATAAACAATGTGCGAATAAATGCGCGAAGTTAACAAAGCAACAATTGAAAGATTACCATTGGGTAACATCACTTTTATTTTTTACTACGGCTGAAATTATTTTTAGGGCATAGTGTTAAACCAAGTTTTGGCAAAAATTTGGTGTAAAAGAATCCCATATTTCTTGAAGCTTTTGTCTCAGTTCGGTGATTGTACGAGCAGGATGTTGTCGTAGAACCTTTTTCATCTCGTGCCACAAAGTTTCAATAGGTGACAGATTTGGACTGCTAGAAACCCATTTCAAAAGTGGTACATTATTTTCTTCCCTCCATTTTATAGCCTTTTTTGAGGTATGGCACGCTGCACCATCTTGCTGAAACACAAAATCTTGACCGGATATCAAACATTCTTCCATCATTGGTAAAGGCGATTCTTCTAAAATTGTCAAGTATTTGTTTGTATCCACATTTCCATCAATGAAATGAAGTTTTCCTACTCCTTTTGATGACATACTGCCCCAGACCATAATGGATGCTGAAGATTTCACTTTTCTCTTCAGACAGTCAACATGGAATGCTTCATTGTTTTTGCGAATAACTCTACTGCGACTGTCACCAACACAAACTTCGAATCGGGCCTCATCACTCCAATGTAATGCACACCATTGTTGAGGTGTCCACTGTCTATGTTCTTTAGCCCATCTAAGCCGATTTTTCTTTTGCAGTGGAGTTAATAGTGGATTTTCTTTGGCCTATAAACAAGTTGTGCAACTTTAGGGTTTTTCCTTCACTTTTTTTATACGAAAACTTACCTTGCAAGTGCTAAATCCCAGTTTGTGGGCCTCTCTATGAGTTGTGGACCTCGAAATTCTCCTTCCAACAGCATCACTCCACAGAGCACTTAATTGTAAATAATTGGCACGCCTGTTTTTCACGATTATTCTTCTTAATGCTCTTCGGTCGGCATTTGTGATATTACTTTTTTCACTTATCGTGGCTTAATATTAACTGAACCAGTTACATTATATATTCTAACAATATTTCTCACACTGTACCGCGATAAGTTGCAATTTCTGAGTTTGATTTCCCAGAATTAAAAAATTTAATTATCGGTAACCGAATTTTCTCACTAATAACCTTTCCTCTACCTATTTTGAAAACACGTATTTCTATGAAGTCAATATTGTCGATTAGCAGGGCTTGCCTGTCGGAAACTTAGTGCCCGTACAGCATGGCGTGGAAGCACCTGCCCATTTTTACGGATGCACGTGAAAATGTCGAAAATGTTAACGTTACTGACGCCTCCTTCATGCTAACCAAAAAGGTATATATTATCTAATATTCCTTACGGTTTTATGGTTTTATCGATGCCTCCCGAATTTGTCACTTTCTTTCCTATTTAACTAGCCTCTGCAGTTAATGGGGACAGAAACTTGGGACTGGTTATTCCTAACTATATTACGATCAAATTCTCTGTCTCTCTAAATTCTTAATTATACTTGACACTATTGTGAGAAAGTAATCTGGTAATTCCTCCTCAACACTTCCGTGCAAGCTCATATCAAAATCATTACTTATGTTTTGTTCCTATATTTTCCTTACATATTTTATATGGAACAAAGGCACTTAATCTTGTTATCTGATCTATTAATTAATTTTTCATAACCAAATGCTGTGTTGAGTTTTTGATCAACCAAGTTTTTGCCATGGAAAATGATGAAGGGGTCTCGAAAAGTTTTTCAAATTCGATATTCTATGTGAAAAATTATTACAAACAGATAATGACATATTATAAGATTATGTGCCAGAGGGTGCCAAATATGGTGGGAAAATAATTTTCACGTATATCGCAAGATCTTGTTTCCTGAGGTTTTTCACTTCAGTCGCGTTTTGCCATGCTTTGTTGCTTTATTAATATCAATCAATATCTTTGTTTGTACCTTTTCTGAACTGTCAACATGGAAATTGCTTACGTTCATGATTTTAGCAACAGAGAGATTTAGATATGAGGGAGATGCCACATGTGCAGAACATGAAACTTATTTTCTGCGCAGTGTACATACGAGAGCCCCGACTTCATTGCCGCGGCTTTTAGTTCTAGTGAATTGAAAACATGACTTCCAACCAAACTAGCGTCATCTGCTTTCCCGATATGAGGTATTGTAAAAGATTGAGATTTTTGTAAAATTCATACTGTGTGCCAGCTACTGAGTAGCTTGCACTAGCCGTGAGCGTTTCCTATTTTGAAATTGCGACATTGCTGCGTAAATGGTGACCGCTGTGCTTACGCTATCGGACTCGCTACGACTTATGGGCATATCATGATGATTAAATAATACTCAACCTGTACACATGTTCGCTGTTGCGCAGATGAATATCTAAGTGCGATGTTTATGCTCGGTCGTATTTCTTTTGCCACGTGGGCGAGGATGAAACAATTCTGATATTTATTTGTCTTTTGGCCATAGCGCCTTCACCACTGAACCGATTTTATTTTGTTGGTCAATGGCGAGTAACGCGAGTATAAAACACTAGTTATTGCAAAATGGGAGAATATATTACGCCAACAACCTTTTGGTGACATTCTCTCAATTCCATAAACACGAAGATCGAGTCAAGACAGGATTTCTCCCCTTTGGATGTTACGCCTTTGACTGCTTTTCTCCTTATCTGTCTTGAAACTCAATAAATACGATGCTGCTGCTGTATGGTTGTATCGGCAGCCAGCCTCCAGTTACATCCATATCCAGCTCTCTGTCCAAAATTCATTTTCCTTTGATGTCATCGGATAGACACAATGTACGCTAAATAAAACTTGGTCAAGTCTATGAGAATTGCAGATCATTCTGATACAGTGGTTTTTAGTTTGGTCCAAATATCTCAAATGATGTAACATCTGAAACTTGTCTCGTGGTTTTCATGTCGATAATCCCCCATGCTTGTCTGGCCAATGAAATCAACTATATTTGAAACTAACTAACTACATTAAAGAATAATTTCAAATATACAGCATAGGAAAAACCATTATTATACATTATGATGAGGAAGAGAGATGGAAATATACAAAAGTATGTGGGTGCGTGAAAGACACTCGATTGTAGGATCCTATCTGGCAGCGTCGGAGTGTGACGGACAACGGGATAAAGTAGAAGAGTGATAAAAGAGAGATGGCAGAACGGGCGCTGGCGCCTGCCGCTTAGACGGATGCGCTCAACAAATGCGATTTGTTTCTCCCATTCGCAGAGTTGCCGATACCAATATGTCATATTTCTAAGAAATCTAAGTCTACCCAATTTTCGGGAAAAATAGCTGCGGATTCCACATAAGAGTATTCCAAAAATGAAAAAAGTTCAAACTATTAAAATTGTATTAATGTTTCATGGTTCAAATCATATTTTTCATGTTTGTATATTGTTGTATAAATGATTTTGTAATCCCTATTCTTGTTACCAGTAGAGATACAACCGTATTGAGAGAAATCATGGACCGCTAGATAGGGCTACAACTACCATATGACTATCAAATAGTAGTAATAAACAGGGTTTGCTTATAGCACAGTTGCCTGGTGTGGCGAATTTGCGCCATAGGGGCGATTTGACAACTTTGAAGGACAACTATAACGGGTACCATGGTGCCCGGCATTCGGGAATCTGGCAATACCTCATGATTCCTAACGTTTATTACGCCAGATTGTTTGCTGACTTGCGCAGTACAACATGACAATCATCGTGACTGAGCACCTGGTAACCCTGGTTTAAGGTGTTATATTTAAAGAGCTTTGGGCAGTTAGGTATCTAGGTCACATTTTTTAATGTATTTCGAGAAATCCGTAATGTTGAGTAAATACTAGATCACGTTTCTTGCTTAGTTTGCTGAAAATTCTACAATAGACGTACATTTTGAGAAACAGAGATTTGGTGACGACAAAATCGTAAAAATATAACGCATTTTCGTAAAATAATTTCTTTGTTGAAAAGACTGTGGCTTGATGACCCATTGAACGAGTATGGTGTCCCGCTCCGCTTTGAATATTCGAAACACTATACTCCAGCAGCATTCAGCTTCAATGTTATCTTTATGAAGTTCTAACGTCTAGGCCATGCTGATTAAAAGCTTGAATGAATCAACACTTAACTCTAAATTCGCCACAATTCGGGAAGCTCTACTCAAATTGGCAACACAGCGTATCTGCCTATTATTCTCATTCGTGATACGGGTCTGCGGTCTGCTGCAAATTTCAGTATGCGTTGAGTCGACAGAAGAAGTACAGTAGATGCGCGCATTACGCACCAGTTCGATTGGACGTCCTGTGAACCGATTTCGGTGATTTCGAGATTTCACGAAATCACCTAAATCACTCTACTTATTTTTATGAATGGATAATTGGTTTTGTAGCAATAAAGGTTGCGTCTCATAACAAAAATAAGAAGATACCCACTCTAACAAAAAATAGTACACTCTTAAAAATGTGTAACGAAAATAAAAAGATATTCTAACAAAAAAATAAGAATTGGCTGATCTGGGAAGCGTATCGCAAATAATTCAACAACCGCGCGTGCTGAATTATTCTGGATGTACCATTCTATCATTTGAAACTTTTCTTCTTGCGAGTACATTTTTCAGATATTTTGGATTAAATAAAGACGCGCCTTTCCTACACAAAACCCAACCGCAGAGTGAGTCATGAATCCCTTATCGCACTTGACGACGGCACGCGCGTTAACGGTAGGAAATATGTACCAATAGCGATGAAAGTAGACGAGCCGATGCGCTGTTGCCAAGAAATGATTTCCCATGTATAACAATGGTTTTTCCTATGGTGTATGTATGTCTCTACTCCAGAGCCAGACTAGGTTAAGTCCATTTTTATCAAATTTGTGTTTAATATGAAAAGCTTATGATATTGTGAATTTTCATTTGCTATATGAAGCATCCATCTATCTGTAATAATAAGGAAGTTACGACTTTTTAACTCTTGTCCAGTCGTATTCAGTGCAATGCAAGAAAAATATTTCAAATACAATTATCTCAAAACTACTTATTTGGACTTAACTTAGTCTGGCTCTGGGGTACAGATATCATAAAACCCTCTTTCTTGAAATTGGTACGTGCATATCTCTATGTCTGTCATGACTGTTTTGTAGATGATATGTGGATTGAATACCCCAACGAATCCAAACTAGTCAGAAACAGGCCTACAATTTGTTTGTTTTCAAAATCTCAGTCTGAAGTCAGAATGAACGTGTAATAAGTGGACCTAATTTTTTTACATTTCTGTCATTAAACTCGTGTTTTTACTGTTA